GATATGAATGAAGAGAAATTGAAATTTTATTATTGTTGTTTATACATTATACAAAAAAATTCGTTATATTTAATTAATTTAGCACATAATTATATGAACCATCATGTATTTGCGAGTATATCAATTATAAAATATTTTGTAACTTGCAATTGGATCAAGTTTAAAGGCAACAAATGTTTATTTCATCAATCAAATCTTGATATCCATACACCTTTTATACAATAATTAAATTTCAATCATTCAACCAAATTTTAATGAATTCTAGATTTATGCTGCTTGAGTTCGAATTTGGTAACAAATCTTTTGTCACATCCAAGTGCATCACATTTGAAATTTTTTATTCCAAGATGATGTCTTGTATGGACTAGTAAATCACCTTTTTGACAAAAAGCTTTTGCACATCCTGGATATTCACATTTGAAATTTTTTATTCTGAGAAGAAATTTAGTATGTGCTATTAAATTACTTTTTTGACAAAATGCTTTTGTACATCCTGGATATTCACATTTGAAATTTTTTTCACCATGAATTTTATTGTGTTTGTTAAGTAAAGATCTATTCCTGAAAGTTTTACCACAACTTAGAGCCGTACAAAAAAATCTATTGTTACTTTGATCACCATTTTTATTGCCATCCTTACTATCAATTTCATTATTACTATTAAAATCATTTTTATCATCATCATTATTAATATGCACCCAACAAACTAAATAAACAACCAAATATAAATATAAATAAATAAAATAGTAATTAATTTTATATTTTTAAAAAGTATAATACAATACCATTTAGAGTGTTTGGAGAATTTTTAATAATTGGAATTTTTTTGTTATTATTCATTTTGAAATGTTTTTTTTAAAAAAAAAAAACAAAAAAAGTTATTTAATATAGTTGACTCGGTCTAAAGACCTCCTAAATTTTGGGCAAATTTTAAAAGTATAGAAGTCACTTTCTGTCCTATTAGTTGATAGAATCTAGGGGTAAGTAAATATATGGGGGACAACTGAATGTT